AGTTTGATACCGGGGTGTAGCAATTCCTGTAGGTAAAAGTAAACAATAAAGTAAAACAACATTAAAGCAAGTAGCACACTGATGCCTAAGATAGTTGTTAAAGTATTGAAAGTTTCCAAAGTCCACCTACAACATCTAAAAAAATTACCAGTAAAGGGGCCTTATTAAGCTTTAAAAGAGTCTACATTTGAGAAGAGAAGTGATGCGATGCAGAAATCATACCTTCATTAGTGCCAAATTGGTATCAAGTCCATCTACTTTAACCACATCAACTGTAGCCTGTGCTTGCTCAACCTTTTTATAATTAGTCATAGACTCTGTGACAGCTCTTTCTAAGGTTGTCATCTCCCCTACAATCATTTCACCAACAAGAAGACTTTCATCATTTGAGACTTGTGACACAACCCCCAGGTTTGACAATATACCCAAAGCAGATGTAGAGTAGTGCATTAAACTTCCAGAATCAGATTCATTAGTCCGTTCCAACCTCCTTGATGCTATCATACCAGCAAGTGTTTCAAGTATGAGGTCACCTCCAGGAAGCTGGTCACAGAGACTGAATGTTAAAAGTGTCTCATATCTAATGATCTGTGAAGGAACTAACTCTACAAGAGCTTGTAATCTCAGAATGCCCAGCACAGCCTTCAAAAGCATTTCTTCTTTTTCAACACCCTCTATCTGGAACTTTCTAAGAAACCTATGTGCATAAAGAACTTCTCGCATGATAGCTAGCCAATAATCACGCCGAGAATGACCCGTGAGCTCAGGAAACTCCATGAACACTGGTTCTGATCTACAAAATTGAATATTTAATTAATACCGAACCAACAGTTAACCAAACATCACGTAACTTCCAGAATTCCTTGCTAAAACAAATCAAAAAAAGAAAAAGAAACATAAGTGGCTGGATTCAAAGTTAAGATAGCATAGCCCACAAACTGGTATTACGCTGATATTAAGGCACTTACAAGGATATGGATTTGTACATGACTGCCTTGTCAAAAAGACGTGAGCCCCATGGACCTGTCAATTCAGGCTTGATACACTGTTTTAGATCATCTGCAAGATCATACATCTTTGGCTTATTGTAAGCCACAACTTTCAGAGCTTCAAAGTAGAGAGCATGATCTGTCAGCGTGAGTCTTCCTGCAAATACCCCGAAAATGGTAAAAGAAGATTTCTAAATCTAAACAAACTCAAGTCATTTACCAAGGTTTAATTAAAGATATTGCTTGTGATTCATTACCCCACTAAAATAAACTTAGTACAGCAACCCACCAGGCCATGCAGAATTTCCTACATGTTCAAGCACTGGTTGAGCAGTCAGTGTTCCATCCATATCAAGGATCTTTTCTCCTCTATGGAAACGAAGATCTGAAAGAAGAGATGATTCTGACTGAGTCTTCATTTTCTTTATTGCTCTGTACACCAGGAAATTTTCTAGACTTAGAGAAAATAATTGTCTAATATTTTTTTCAGAACACAGAGTACGTTAAGATTTCCTAGTGTAAAAATTCTACTTGGAAAAGCAAACAAATTGACAATAGCATTTATGACCATATTCTTGCTTCCAAGAAAAGAAACATTGTTAAAATTCAGCAATTACTCTGAACGATCAGACTAATTTTGTATCGCTATGATGTGATGGAATCATGAAAATACCTGTCTAGATTGCGCAAATACTTGTCATATATAGCAAAAGAAAGCCTCCCTCCAGTTGAGGCTGTAAGCACATTGAAAATATTTGAGCAGTTAACTACATCTGCAACGGAGGGAATTGCAGGTGCTATCCGGGAAAAAGCTTCCACACCAACCGGTCTCTCCCCGCCCTCCTGCCAAGAGATCCTAAACATGAACTCTCAACCACTTAACAAAATCACTTACCTCTCACTCTCCTTTATCAGCATAAACTGTCTCACATTAGGATTTGTACAACCTCAGCTGATAATGAATGTTAAGATAAATGTGGCTGACTACCTTAGCCTGAGGTGAAGGAGGCTGGCTTGATGCAGGAGAGTCCCAGGCCAACATCATGTCGAAGGTGAGGCGGTGGAAGCTCTTATCGGAGAGGTATCCCGCAACTCGAGTGGACAGCGCGAGCGTTGTGAAGCAACAGTACTCAACCAAATTTCTCGCGTAACGCGAGGGGCGTCTTATAGCCTCAGACGCTTTGGCATCGAAATTATGCTGAATATCGTCCACAGAAACCCCAAGGATTCTGAAAATTATGGAAGGGAGACGAGAATTCGATGACTGATGTGTTGATCGGACAACTCGAAACTCTCATGATACAAGAAGAAAGGACGAGGAGGATGAAGGATATATTACAGGGAGCATCGGGCGACGACGAGGTTAGCGATGGGGGACAGGGCGGCGATCGAGGTGGCCTGGCGGCCGGAGGGCGAGCGGGACAAATCGTCGAACTCGTCGTCGCCGTGGAAGGAGGTGCGGCGGGTGAGCGCCCAGTTGAAGGACGACTCCCTCACCAGATCTTCCAGTAGATCCCTCGTCTTGTTCATCATCACCGTCATCGCCATCTTCTGCTTCCTCCCCCCTCTGGTCGGTTCCCCAAATTAAGAACCCCACCGGCTCTTATCATGATGCAACAAATTTGATGAGATGTGCTACGATGATGATGATGATCATCTCTCCCCGAGGATTAGAAGGGCAGATTCGGCTGGGTGGAATGTTTTCCACGACACGATTAAATCGTAGCTAAAGTAGTGACTCACCACCCACTTTAGCTCGACAATACGATTATAATTAGATGTCCTCGTGGGGTCCACGTAAAGACTATCCGAGTGAACTCACGACTTGGTGGTTCGAACCAAGCCGCGCACTCCGGATCACCTGTCAGGGACGTGAGTCGTGCCGTGACTCGAGACAAGCGAAGCGCCGTCCCAGACAAGAAACGGTCCGGTTTTATTTTTACTAGAAAAAGCGAAAATTCCTATTTTCAGGGTGAATTTTTGAGAAAATTTTCTTTTTTTTTCTTTCTTTTTTTATATTTCTTAAATAGCATCTTATTTGTCCTAATCCCTAAAAGGTCTTCTAATAAAGACAATACTTGGTACATCCTATGGAGCGATTGTAATTTTTTTTTATATCTTCATCAAATATAAAAAAATTATTTTTGGCATATTCATCAAATATAAGTCTATTAAAAAAATAGTATAAATTAATTCAAACTCTATAGAAACCATGTAATATATAAAAATATTATCTTAAATAAATATATTTATTAATTTATAAATAAAAATAGATAAGAGTGTCTTAGAGATTTTTATGTCAAATGTGATATTTTTAAATAAGTTTATAGTAATTTTTCTAGAAAGTTTGGGTTGTTTCTTTGTATAAGGTATCTTTAAAAAAATGATAAAAACGGATTAAATTCTATTCAAATATTTTTTTTATTACATTCGAAGCATCTATTAAGATAATTTATTTCTTATCCTATAGCTTAATCTTCGTGACTGATTTCTTGTTATAAATTATCTCTTATAATTAGTTATCTTTAGTATTTTGATCTTTATAATTTCAAAAGTTTTATATTTACGAAAGTAAAATATTTAATCTTTTATTTCAAAAAGATCCTTCTCTCTTTTAATTTTTAATTATGTAAAATTATTTTTTTAATCCGATCTTAATATATATTTTTTTTTATAAATATAAAAAAATTAATATAATTTTTAAAATATAAAAATTAAGATATTAAAGATAATTAATTATAAAAATTATATATATAATTAGTTCGAAAACATGTGATCCATACTAGAATAGAAAATATCTTCTGATCTCATGCTGAGGAGGCTCTCCAATGATACAACGTAAGCCTCTCAGCATCTTCCAGAACCTGTCTTTATAATTATCAATGTACCCCCACAATGACAACATCAACAAACCGAAGGGGAAAGGATAGAGACATAAATGAACTCAACCCCTATTATAGAGACATAAAAACAGATTCAATTATATTCATTTAATCGATTCTATCAATCTCTCTCACTGTTGATGGACGACCTTCATGTGACCACTTAATCATGGAGTCACAGAAATAATGAAACATATATATTTTTATTATTTTTTAATTTATATGTTAAAGAATGGAACACATTTTCATTGTCACCAAATAATAATTGTGAAGTTGCAGAAAGAATCAAACATATGTTTGTTCTGATCCTTTTCCAATTGGTTTGTTATGAAAGAATGGAACACATTTTCATGATCGGCACATATAATTTATAATAAAAATACCAACAAATTGTACTAATAAAGATAGGAAGTTATTTATTTTTTTCTCTTTTTTTCTTGGTAAAAAAAAGGGTAGAATCATCATAGCTCGTTCCTTATAGTTGAGGTACTAAGGTCAACATACAATGTTGACCAGAATATATACATTAGGTAAAAGAATACATTTGTAAAAGTTTTTATTATATTTATTAATAAAAAAATAAAAGAATATTTTGTATTAAAAAAATTTAAATGTTATATTTTTAAGTAATACATTTGTAAAGTGTTTAAATAAAGAATACATCTCGCTTTCCTTACAATCACCCCCCATCTTCAAGTATCATCATTGCCCCACCCTTTATTACTAGTATCATCTTCTAGTATCTCATTCTTCTCATCATTACTTTGCCTTCCAATATTATTGTTCACCCCCACCCAACACCTCCCTCGCCTTCTAGCATCATCGTCATCCTACCCTATCTCATCAGGGGCAATAAATTCATCCTCCTCCTTAACCTCAACATTGCTCATATTATCCTACTTCCCCTTTTTCATTCTTTGCTCACATCGTCATCTATCATTTCATGATCCTCGTGGAGGGAGCTTGTTGCTCTAATCAATAAAAAAATGTTTTTAAGGTAAAAAATAATTATAGGGGTGCCATTAGGTTAAAGGGTAATGCTAGGGGTTTTTTAAGATAAAATGCCAAAAAACATACGAGTATACGACTGAATACCATTAAAAACACGGTCAAGAAAAGAAATCAGAGATCGGTGCACGCCCAATTCCACTACCCACCTGCAATTTTAGCATCATCTCTCATTCTCCTCTTCCTCGGCGCCTCTACCCATCCAATTGTCCTCTATTTAAACACCATACTGGTCTCCCCTCCGGCACACAAGGCGCCATGGAGGAAGAGGCTACTATAGATCCGTCGCTCCTCGAGGCCGCCTCCGCCTCGGCCTCAGCCAAGGCCGCCGGCGACCCCTACCACGGCTGGCAGAAGGTCACCTACGCCAAGCGCCAGCGCAGGCCCCAGCCTCCGCCCGCTAACGACCGCTCCAACGAAGTCCCTGATCGCTCCCATGTCTTCGCTTCCCTCGAGCAGAAGGCCCTCGAGCGTCGGCGCGCCATTGAGTCTGACTCCACCGTGACGGAAGCTACCGCCGCCAGATCGACGCCCGCCACAGCCGCCTCCGACGTCGGGGACGATGATAGCGGCGCAGAGGCCCCTCCTGGGGCACACGAGAAGGGGACGGAAGCCGCCAAGAAGGTGAAGCAGAAGAAGCCCAAGGTCACCGTCGCCGAGGCCGCGGCCAACATCGATGCAGAAGATCTTGGTGTGTTCCTTGTCGAAATCTCGGTGAGAATCCAGACTCTTTAGGTTTCCTGGATTTTAGTGATCGGAATTTTAATTAGCCTTTACCAAAAATTTTGGTGATTTTATCCTTTCAGGCTTCCTACGAGTCGCAACAGAATATTCAGCTGATGCGGTTTGCGGATTACTTTGCCCGCTCATTTGCCTCCGTGAGCGCATCACAGTTCCCCTGGGTTAAGATGTTCAAGGAATCTCCTGTTAACAAGATTGCTGATGTGAGTTTGGTCTGCCTCTTCTGGGATTAATTTCTCAGTATTAATATATTTTTTAGAATATAGTGTCCTCAAAATTCGTTCTTCTTAAAGGTGATTTTATCTGACATTACTTGATTTGGTTCATAATCTGCTCAATTACTGATGAAAGAATATGTGAGTTTGGTCTGCCTCTTCTGGGATTAATTTCTCAGTATTAATATTTTTTTTTAGAATATAGTGTCCTCAAAATTCGTTCTTCTTAAAGGTGATTTTATCTGACATTACTTGATTTGGTTCATAATCTGCTCAATTATTGATGAAAGAACATGTGAGTTTGGTCTGCCTCTTCTGGGATTAATTTCTCAGTATTAATATTTCTTTTAGAATATAGTGTCCTCAAAATTCGTTCTTCTTAAAGGTGATTTTATGTGACATTACTTGATTTGGTTCATAATCTGCTCAATTACTGATGAAAGAATATGATGAGTAGATGATTTAAAATGATAACGTGCATAACTATCAATAATCTTTGAAATATATATTGTCAATGATATGCTACTGCAAGTAGGATTAGATTGTTATACCTATGTTTTCTTATGCAATTGGCTGATCATCTTTCTTATTTTGGTTATACCTATGTGCTCTTATTTTCTGTCAACACCCATGTCCTTTTCTTATGCCCCTGCAAATTTGTGCTCTTAGTTTTTAGTTTTGCTACATGCAGTACAGCTTTTTAGCTGAGCGTAATAACATAGTTGCTTATTTTTTTGAGGAGCTAACATGATTCTGTTGTAAACAAAAGCCTTCTTCTATCATTTTACTTAAAGTTGATGTTGGTCTTTTGTTTCCTTTTCTTTTCAATAGATGAGTATAACCCTATGTTTAGCATTCCCATCCTTGCTTTACATCAAGGATTGCAATTTCGGTCTGTACCAATATATCGAGCCCTATTTAGTACTGTATGTACCGAGGCGTATCGACGGTACGTCGGGTCATACCGACGGTATGCCCAAAATCATTAAAAAAATTCAAAAAATATTAAAAAGTTATATTATGATTTTTAAGTTAAACGTAAATATAAATTTAGTATAATTCTAGCAAAAATAATGTAAATTAGGAAAAAATAGTGACACATGTCTCTTTCGAGTTTTGAGGAGTAGTTTTGTGGTACGTTCCAGATTCTCTTTCTGTTAATATTGAATTATCTATGAAGAAATTATTTAAATTGTTAGATCATTTTTTATACAATGAAACTTTAAGATTCATATGAATCAAGTAATCAATCGATGGATATACTTGGTTCTGCTACAAAAAAGAACGACGGGACTCCACGGGCGATGGATCGGGGTCCTCGACCCTATGCACAACAAAAGAGCACTCTAATAGGCGTAAAAGATATTTAATTGACTTGATATGGATCAAATTCTGATATCATTGTAATTAAATACACTAATCATAGTATTAACCAAGGTATGCAGTTTTGAATAATACCGCCCGTACCGGTCCGTCAAATGACCGATAC